GCAGCAAAAAAGAAAGGCCTTGAAAGTTAAAGAAAAAAAATTAGTCAAAGTGTTAATTTGTCACGAATTTTCGGGATTCTCTGAAATTATTTATCAACTTTTAATAGTGCGGCTTAATTAAAATAAATAATTAAAAATGGATTACATTACAATGTGCTAAAGTTAAATTTTAAATTTAGAAATCAAAACCAAAATGGTTAGAAGTAAATACATACCTAGATAAACATACATTTTATAAGAATTTTATGATTAATCGAGAAAAATATTTAGATATTCTGATTTATTGATTAATTAGGATATTATTATCCTAATTATCTACACATTCAAGAATATTCTGAGATCAATTAAAATTCTGCGTAGTTGTGATTCCTAACAAGAACAAAGCGAATATAATTAAAATTCCAATGTATCTTAAAATGTGCGCGGATTTTTATTTACGCAGAGTTTATTTTTAGAAATAATCATGAATTAATTATTCATGAGAATCAATGAGAAAAATTCCTGAGATTCTACCAATACCTTTAAAAAGCTTTCAAAAGTTCAAGAATGTGGAATATGAAACAAACTTTCAGAAGTTGTTGCGTTAAACCATTCTGAAAGGTGCAAACTTCTGTTCATTGAAATTCAAAGAATCTCCTTGAAATACTAATAAAATAAGTGAAAGTAAATCTTAATTATTTCCTGAACATTTTTTTTAATAAATAATTAAAAGCCTTCCGCTCTCATTTTATTTCATGAACTTGATTGTTTAACAGTCTTTTACACAACGTTTTATCCTACTAATGATGCGATGACATTAGGTGGTAATTGAGCCGGTTCTTCATCTGTTTCTTTGAGGTTGAGAACAAGTTCATCACCGGATGATGGAATTTCTGGAATATGTCTTCCTGATGGTTTGAAGCCGCCATCATCAGATGAATATTTCACTTCATACAATTCATTGTCATCACCGATGTAGGAATAGCGACCAGTAACAACCAAAACTTGTTGATCTCCTACGGTTTTGAATGAACCACTTTCTTCCTTGTATTGACCGTCACTCGTTTCATAGAAATATCGATAACCGTTATCAGGCAAATTTTCGTATTCATATCGAACAATCTCTGGAGTTTGATTATCTTCCAATGGGGCACAAATTACCACTGAAGTAATAAAAAGTATTACAATCCCCTAAAGAATAAAAGATTCTTAAATTCTAAAAGTTATTTTAAATTAAAATTATGCAAAATCTCACAGTCTTCAACATTTTTGCCCAAGTCGACTTGTTAACACAAACGCGTGAAGGAAACTAACAAAAGCGTTCGAAAAGAGAAAGAAACAAGTTCATAGCTGGATTTTGTTTCCCTTTACAGCTACAGATTTAAGATCAACAACCTTGAAGTGTATCATTTATATGTTAATAGAAAAAAGAAGATTTTGAGATAGGAGTTGGTGTGAATTTTTTTAAGTTGTTGACCGCAGCAAGGATTATTGGAAATATTTAATAAATTCCTTAAATTTTGATGCACTTTTTTTTCTCTCTCAATTTGGAAGATAAATAAATGAGTAAAGTTGAGAAGAGTTTAAGATTTGCAATATTAAACGAGATGTTGAAACTTTTTACTTAGATATTTTGGAAAAATCTTCTTCTCTTCTTAATGAATAAATTAAAAATCTTTCTAGGTAGATTATGTCAGATAACTTCCATCAATTATGTGTTCGTGAATTTTTATTGTAAATTTCTGTTTAACTACCTATCTTAGAAGTTGATTGAAGGTTTTAGAAAATTAGAATGTAGCAAGTAAAGAATTTTCTATTAATTTTATTAGCAATAATTTCGTTCTGTCAATACCTTCTTTATTTGCTAAGCAATTTTATTTACAGTAAAGAAGAACAACAAATCAAAGGTGAAATAAAATAAAAAAAGTCTTCGTGTTCTTAAAGATGAATCTTTAAAGTTGTGGAAAGTTGTTTTCAAGTGAATGTGATTGTAAATGTGTCCGAAGGTCGTTTGATATCAGAACTTGCTTACATGTTGCACAAGCTTCCAGCTCATTCATCTTATTCTTCTTTTTCGATTTCTTATCGGAATTATCAGATTGACGGAACTTCTCCAAATGAACTTGAAAGAGACTCTGGAAGAAAAAAATTAAAAAATTATTACTGAAATTATCATATAATGAGGCTCAAGTTCAAGTTTACCTGTTGCTTTTCAATGTCTGGTAACAACGCTAACAATTCAGGAAATATTGAATTAAATTTTTCTCCTAATACAACCTCACAAGACTCATAATAACTTTTAGGGAAATAATTTCCATCACGAAACATTTGCGACACTAAACGAAACTCTTGCATTAATTCCGGTGTTAAAGCTTTTTGAAATTCACTGACTAGAGCTTGATTTCTTTTACTTGCGTTGGTTGGTGGAAGATAAATGTAATCACTCAACATCTCACTCGTTGTTAAGTTCTTTTGGTTAAATCCTGGTGGTGGATGTTTTGACGCTTGTGAAAAGCCTGGAGGTGGTGGAGTCAAAACTTCCATTGCTTGACTTTTATTGTTTTCTTTATCGTTTTGATTTATTTTTTGTTTACTTGTCTTCTTCTTATCTTCAACTGATGACATTGATGCATAACCATTTTTCGTCTTTTCATGTTGAACTGCAGGCATCTCATTAACTTTCTTATTTTTCTTATTCTGTTCTTGCTTGTTATTACCTTTGATAGTAATCCATTGTGGTGCTGTTACTGCTGCATCAGTTGAAACACCTAAAGTTGGGAAATTATCAACAGAATTTAATTTCGGTACAATTTTTGTGTTCATTTCTTTTAAATCTGTTTTAATGTCTTTTTGCTGAACAGTTTGAACTTTTGATATCGCTGATGCCATTGAAACATAATCATCGACCAGATTACGATGTTTTGATGACACTAAATTCTTATTTAAGCTCGATTCAGGTAAAACCATATCCTCAAGAAGATCTTTTTTATTTCGATTCTTCTTTGAAGTCGTTGATAGCGATGGAAAATCTTCTGTAATGTTTTTAACTCCACTTGATAATGTTGACGAAGAATTTGTCTGTCGAGAAGTTGGTTTTGATGTAACTTTAAAGAAACTACTTGCAGCTGGACCTGTCATTGATTTCATACTTGTTAAAGGTTTAGATAAAGCTGGAAAATCTTGAGAATTATTTTTAACTGTGGCACTTGATGGTGTTGATTTATTGGAAGACGTCGATTGAAGTTTAAACGCATTTTTCTGTTTCCCTGACGATGCTTTGAGCAAACTACTAGCTGATGGCATCTTTGATTTTGTTACTTTTTCATTCTCAATAACAGAAGAATTACCAAGAGCTGGGAAGTTTTCTTTGGTTCGAGCTAAACCTGCTGTTCCATAATTCATATGACGAGTTGTATTTCCAAGCGGTTGAAACGAACTTGAAGCCTTTGAAGGGCCAGCAAGTGAAGGAAATTGTTCTTCATTCTTTGCATCAATTTGAATTGGTGCTTGTTGAACGATTGTTTGTTGTTCGGGAATTCCATCAAACTCTCTTTGAGTATCATTTGTTCGAATTCTCCCATGACGTCCATTTTCATGACCAGCTCCACTTCGACCTCGAGACCCATAAAAGAATTCCAATTCCAATGTCCTTGCTTGTTTGACCGCTGCTTTTGTCATGCCTTTCGAATGCACCATAGCAACATGAGCTCGCAAATCAATTTCACTTCTATAAACAGCTGTCAACTGTTCATTAGCACAATCTTCTTCTTCGCAGAGGAAATGTTCTGATTTAAAATGATCTCTCATTTCGGTGATCGCTCTGTTATCGAAAATGGAATAAATTATTTACTTGAAATTGATAAAATTGATAAAATTTACCCATAAAATAAATTAATCCCATCAGCATCGCACAGATGGCAAAAATAATGCTCCCTCCTTAAATGTCTGAATAACTCATCTTTGTCTAAGAATCTTAACTCACAATATTCACATCTTGGATGACCTTTATGACTTTTATCGTCGACATCACCGACTCTTCGATGAGTTGCCAACTGTTGTCGAGTGTAACATCGTCGAGTTGATGAGAAAATCTTCAAATTGTCCGTACAAATTTCACAATAAAATAGCTCATGAACTTTCCGAACATGCTCTTTAAGCTTGTTAAATTCAATAAATGGTGTGTGGTCACATTCAGGACAACGATGTTCTAATAGTCGATAAAATGCCTTCTGAATATCCAAATCAGCAAAAGCTATTCGATATTTTTTCTCGTAAAGTCCAGAACGTAAATCGCGATCTAATGTAGCAAATGGGGCTATTGTTTTCGTGAAAACAACCTAATATGAGTAAAATTTTAATTTTGCTTATCAACAGATCTTTTTTCTGATTAGACGAAAAAAAGCACATTTCAGAATTTCACAACATATTTTAACTTACTTTTGGCAAATCTTGACGACAGATTGGACATTCATTTTGAAGGCAAATACATCTCATTCGAGCGGAACACTCGAAACAAACAGCGTGATTACATGCACTTAAAATAAAAATAAATGAAAGTTTTTATAAATCTTAAATTGATGACAAGGTGAGTTTATTTTTACCCAATCGAATAAATCAAACAAGTCTTGAAACAAACAACACAAGCATTCTCATCAATTCTTTCGGGAGATTTTGTTTCTTTTATATTTCCGGCCATTATTCTTGAAATATTGCGTATATTTTAAGCGAAATATATTTTTACTTGATAAATTTCTAATTAGCTTAAGATTTAAAAATCTAAACAAGACTAGATGTTTAGTGCCGGTCTGTCTCAAATTTGAAGCGAGAATTGGAAGCAAATGGGAAGCAAACAATATTTACATGTCCATGGTGAATCATTTGGAGAATGGAACCACAATTTCTAGACGACCAATTTAATTGTCTTGCAATTAAATTCATATTCGTTTGTGAAAGTAGCAGTGAATTAAACTCTTTATTAATTGATCTTAATGGATTAGATTACAAAAGTCAAAGAATACAAAACACAGATTCAATCGTACAATTTCTCGATTCAATTCCGAAAATATCGGTAAAGTCAGATCCAAATATTATTGTAAAGACTTGTCATCTCATCAAACAGCTGATAAATAAACAGAAGATTTTTCTACCAGAACAAGTTTCTAGCAAAGTCATTCAGTGGATTCTTAATTGTTGTGATCAAAAATCATGCAATTTATTCTTCTGCGAAGCAATTGATGCACTTTCGGTACTTTTTAAAATAAATTCATATGCTGCTGTTCAGGTGAGTTTTTCTTTTCTGAATAATCAGTGAAATATTAACATTTCTCATGATAACAGCATTCATCAAAGCTTCTCTCAACAAATGGCATTCTTATGAAATTCATTAGTAAAAATTCAACCGAAAATGCTCAGAAATCTTTCGTTCATGAAAATACTCCACAAGAATTGTACAAGTCAACATTGGGATGTCTTGAAGCCATTTTAATGTGTTTAACTGAAAATGACGAGGAAGTAGATGGAATGAGCAATGAACATGTTCAGCTGATCGGCAAGTCAATCATCAACTTAATGTTCGCACTTCGACAGGAAGCATTTCCAGAAGTTGACATGATAATGATAGCGACGTCAAGTCTCAATTGTCTCAAATTTATCATTCAAATGGATTCTGAATTTGCCAATGAAAACGTTGGAGAGTTGTTGGGAATTGCAAAGTCGTTCATGCTTTTCTCAATCCCCGACATCACTCAAAGTGCGCCTTCGAAAATTGCGTCGTCGCAACAAGCAATCATGGAACCACTTGCCATTCGTCCACCTAATAAACGTGGAGGTGGATTAACGAATAAGTCAAGAAAGGGAAAGAAACATAATAAGAAGTCTTCAACGAAACAAAATCTTAATAAACAAGAAGATTCAAGTCGAACTTACGGATTCAAAGATAATCAAAGCAGTTTCTGTTTAAATAGCGAATTTCCAGCCTACCGAACAAGCGACTCTGATTATTCCGATAACGAACACAACCGTGAATCAATTAATAGGCATAAACAGAATAAACTTCGTGTTGCATCTTTATCGATGTTATCTGCAATCGCGGGAAATGTCGAGAAGAAGATTTTATTCGGTTATTGGCATAGTCTTTTGTCCACGGAAGAAACATCATCAGCGACACTTGTCAACAGCATTCTTAAAGATTCATCGCCAAGATGTCGCATCTTAGCATTGCAAGCAATTATTCAACTTTTAAAGAATTCAAAGCCTTTTCTAATTCAGGCTGAAAATAAAGACAAAGCACCGTCAACGTTCACACCATTTGCAGTGACACTTGGCAACATGATCGTCTTTACTTACGAGAAACTCACTCAAGCTTTAATTAAGGAAGGAGATTTAACAGTTCTCGCACAAATCCTTAAATGCATTTCAATTCTAATTCCAGCGACTCCATTTCATCGACTTCGATCTGGAATTGTCACAGGTTTCGTCAAATATGTGAGACTTCTTGTTCGTCATAAAGATCCAACAATTAAAGTTGCTGCTTTAATAGTCATGGGAAATCTCATTTCAATACCTGACATGACGTCGGAAATTTATGAACTTGTTGAAATTCCGAAAACGAAATTAGAATTTAGTTGGAAGATTATTGATGAAGGAATTCGAACAGCATCGGGAATAACATCACAAGACGAGTTTGTTGATCTTGAATTTGATGATGAAGAAGTTGAGATTGAAGTAGAAGATGATAAAAAGGAAGAGTTGATTAAAATGTCGTGGCTGCTTCAAACAGTTTTAGAGAATCTTGGAGTGTTTAATGGATGCGTTTTGAAGATTCCATCACCAGCAACTTCAGTTCGAATTGAAAGCTTGCAAATTTTAAGTGCAATGACTTCACATTTTCTTCTCCTTAAAGATCATTTGAATTCGATTGCAATGGCATTGATTACGTCATTGAAAAGTGTTCAATTAGATGAGAAAAATTATGCAAGTCGAACGCTTGATTTCGTTGGAAGTTCCATAAATCTTTATTTATCGAAGGACAAGAAGAATATTCAAGATTTGGATGCAGCAATTGAGTTCTGGTTGAGCATCATTCCAAGTGTTGTTGAGAGGATTCAAGATTTAACTCAACCGCCACTCCTTCGTGCATCACTTGCTGACAGTCTTGCCAACATTGGAGTTCATGTGTTTGAAAAGTTGGAACATCAAAAGCAAATTCTTTTGATTTCAATTCTTACTGGTTGCAGTTATGATGAAGATTCGAATGTTAAATCATCAGCAATTCGAGCACTTGCTGTTTATGCTTTATTTCCATCACTTCGTGATGATTTATGCTTCATTGAAAACACAATTGAATCGATTTTGAGGATTATTAAAGATGAAAATATTGTGACGAGAACAAAAGCTTCGTGGTCGTTGGGAAATGTTGTTGATGCTTTGTTGATGATACGCGATGATAATCACACAATCAATGAGCGTTTATTTCGTGAAATATTTGTATCAACAATTGATGCAACAAACGACAATGATCGGGTTAAAGTGAATGCAGTGAGAATGCTTGGAAATCTTTTAACATTATTGACCAGCGATCAATTGAATGATCAATCGTGGTCGAAAGTTTTCAACGAATCCATTCTAAAGTTACATGATTTGCTTCTCAATTGTAGTAATGTGAAAGTAAAATGGAACATTTGCTATGCATTTTCATCTTTAATGAAGATTTCAAGGTTTTTCGAGTTGAAGTTGAAGTGGACGAGTCTTGTGTTTCCAGCACTTTGCAATGTCATCAAAACATCGCCAAACTTTAAAGTTCGAATCAATGCGAGTGCTGCTTTTACGATTCCTAGTCGTGAGAATTTCGGTGGACATTTTATTGATATTTGGAGTTGTCTTCTGGATGCTTTGGAACAATCAAACAATTTAACTGATTTTAATGAATACAAACATCGCGACACTCTTCAAGATCAACTTTGTTTATCAATCAGTCATGTTATCAGTGTGGCAACCATCGATGACATTGTGTCAATGAAGAATGAAGTTTTTCCTTTAATCGACATCACAAAACAAAACTGGAATCGTGTTTTTAATCGTTGTCTGCCAGAATGTCAAGGGAAAATTCTCACAGCGATTGAAGTTCTCAAAACCATCGAATGTAAAACTTCAGAACAGAAAAATTCAATTGAAATTTTACTTTCATGTTTTGAGCCAATTGAAAAGTTTTAATTTTTTTTTGAATAAATTATCTGTAACTTGAATTGTTAAATCAAAATTTCTTTAGATAAAAATGTCAATCAAATTTTTATTTTCACAGGCAAAACTTCTTCAGAAGAAGAAAAATCACAAAGGGGACATTGAAATTGTGGATCAGCTAAAACGCTGCCTTTCAAACAATAATAACAAAAGATGTGTCCACAGTTTATATGATGAGGTAGTGATGGACGTTGGAGGCAAATTGCACATTTTGTGTTAATATTCATTGCTGGTTCTTGTTTTTTGGAATGTTGTTGAGTCACTGAAGGTTTTAAAGCGTTTGTGATTTTTCGACGCATGGAATGAAAGTTTACAAGTGGCAATGTTACTGTTAAGAATTCCTAAAGATAACAAAGTTCAATTGAAGGAATGAAAAACATTAAACTTAAACAATTTTACCAAAAATCCAGTCCAAATTAGCTCACGATTCATGTAATCGTAACCAACATTTCTCATTCTTGTTCCACTCTTTGCAGTATGTTTCCATCCTAAGCAATAATCAACAAGCGATGGATAAACTCCGATTTTTAAGAATCGGAAGAAATTAATTATTGTAAGCATTCGAGTTGAACATTCGATCCAGGCAATAATCTTTTGAACTTCTAAATGATTTGTGAGTCTTAAATGACTGACATCCTTTAAATACGACGACAAGATCGTTGAAATATAATGAAATAATAATTTTTTCCTTGTAAGTTGATCTTTTTGGTAAGTTATTGCTAAAATCTGTTGTCCAAACGTCGACTTGTTTCGAAGAATTGAACAATACCAAATAATTGTTTTTAATAAACAATCAATTTCTGGTTGATATTTGCTCAAAATTCCTGGTGGCAACTCTTTATATACATTTGACAATTGCTCGTGAATAATCTTTGTAACTTCTTTATCAAGTAAATCAGCATCTAGCTGATTAACACGCGAAACATATGACGATTTCTCCATTTTCTCACTTTTTACATGAATATTTATTTTTTTTATAAGTTTTCACCACAGCATTGGGAAGCAAAGAGTCAGGTCAAAGTTAGTGATCGTAAAGTTTTTCACCACTGCTAATGATCGTACTTGTATACCCCGAGTATCAACAAAAATTTTAACGGTTGACACTGCCAGTATTTAGATTCTGAATAGACGTGAATAGAACAAACTTAAAAAACAAAACTTAAAATTATTAAAATATTCTAAGCATTATCATAAATAACTCTTGTATAAAATGGAGATATTGTGTTCAATATGTTGCTGTAATCTTGTAGATCCTAAGCAGGAAATAGGACTTCCGTTCAGCTCTGCAGGTGGTAATAATAATCATCAAGCATACAGCTCCCTTTGTGGACATGTTTTTCATAAAATTTGTCTACTAAAATGGCAAGAACGATCTAAAAATTGTCCTGAATGTCGAACAGTTATCAATGGGAAAGAAGATATTCACAAAGTTTATTTCAACGTTAATTTTAAAAGCGACGAAGAAAGTCAGCAGGACGTACAAGAAGAAAAAATTCAAATGCATAAACGAACGGAAACTTTGACAAAGTATATTAAACATATTACAAAAGAGCTCGGACATGTTGAGTTGAAATTCGATAAACTTAAACAAGAGATAGCCAGGAAAGATCAAGAGATTAGTGATCTAAAGAATTTATTAAATCAAGAACGTTTGTGTGTACCACTCAGGCGTGTTACTTTGAAGACAAATAAGGTTTAAAAAATATTTTAGAAAAAAGGAATGTAAATTTTAAAATGGATCTATGAAGTATTAGTGGCGAGCCCATTTTGTTGTGTACCAAACAAAAAAGAGAAATATAAAACAGTTTTAACATCAAACATAAACAAAGGATAGCGCACAAAACCGGTTTATGGTGACTCATAAATTGCGTCATATTAAAGGTCACAATATAATTTATATTCATTATTAATACTCATATTGCTATGAACATTTTAAGAAACATTTTATAAGCTTTAATTTTGAAAGTGTTTTATGTGACATAACCAGTGATTCACTCCCAACATATGTATGTGTACTTTTAATCAGATAATCATATTGAAACTTACGAACAAGAAGAAAGAGAAACGAACAAAAGATTTAATTCATGCTTTAGAAGATGATTCATGCACCTTTCATCTTTGCACTACTTACGTTCTTCCCAATAGTTTTTTTCATTTATTTTTGTGTGACTCGATTTCATGCTTTCCATCACACGAGACGAGAACTCGTTAAATTTTACCTGAAACTTGTTTGCATAGTTTTACAAACGGGAAGTAATATCTAAGTGAAGTGAAATACCGACTGTATTTAATTATAAAAATGTACTTGAATAGTTATTTTAAGTGTGTAAAGTTCAGCTGTAAATAGAAAGTTAAAAACAAACATTATAAATAATAAATATATTTTTTAAATCAATCATCTTTTTTATTTCTTTTCTCCCAACATTTACATTTAACTACCTAGGACTTACTTTGAAACTTTATTTCAACAGTCGAAAGTGAACCAAGTTCCATTGTGTCTGTATGAGTTTGTTTATCGACAAACAAAGTGTTTTATCAATTTAATCAACTAAATCAAATGTCCGCAAAAAGAAAATCAAAAAAGAAAAGGTCGTTTAACTTTCAATTCCAATTATGAACACTTGATGATAAGATAAGAAGACGAATGAGTTCTTAATGATAAAAAGAGCGACGTAGAAAACGAAGAAAACGAAATCTACGAAATGAAGATATAAAAAAAAAACGACGAACAGATGAGAAGAACATTAAATAATTTTTCTACCTGTTACGAAACTTTTCTTTTTCTTCATTTTCTACGTCACTCAATAAATGTTCATAAATTTTCATTATAAAATTTATTCACTTTAAAGTGCAGCTCGTTTTTGTCTCTGCCCTTTGAAAATCTCGTCAATGTTTTCAAACACACGCGATGCACTTTGAGACGCATCAATTTTGTAATGAATGCCTCGTAAAGCGTAATAGCTTGCGAGTGGACGTGTTTGGTTATGATAAGCTTCGAGACGTTTTTTAAGAGCTTCAACATTGTCGTCACTTCGTCTAATTAAAGGCTCGCCTGTAATGTCGTCAGTCATTGCTACTTTTGGTGGATGAAACTCGTCGTGATAACTTCGTCCACTTTTCTGATGTATAAGCCGGCCAGTGATTCTCTTCACCAATAAACTATCGTCAATGTCAAACTCTACAACAGCATCAAGAGTAGTTTTGCGTTGATCCAGCAAATTGTCGAGTTTTTGTGCTTGTATTACAGTTCTAGGGAAGCCGTCTAACAGAAAACCATTTTTGCATTCAGGTTTATCCAGATTCGAATCGATCATATCCACAACCAAGTCATCAGAGACAAGCTTTCCCTCATCCATTACTTTTTTTAATTGAGCTCCAAGCTTTGATCCAGAAGCGATCTCTGCTCTCAACATGTCACCAGTGCTCAGATGACATACACAGTAACGTTCTTTTAAAAGAGGAGCCTAGAAGAGAAAGAAAATTTACTGATAAGAGCATGAAAATAACCTCAGATTCATGCGCTGCATTGCGCAATCATTCAATTAAGCTTATGAGCTGGCAACTTTCATTCCTAAGCTTATCTGCTTACCTGAGTTCCTTTGCCACTTCCGGGTGCACCTAAGAGAATAGCATTTATTCCTCTTCGTAACCATGCTGGCTGTTGTTTAGGTTGAGGTTGAGCCATTACTGTAAATATTTATGATCGCGATATTTTTAATCGAAGAAAAAATAGATTTTCAACAAGTTTTATGCTTCAAATTGAAACGAAAATTTTAAATGAAATAAAATCAGATTTTTAAATGCTTGTGTTGTATTTTGTTATATTTTATAGTAAGTCTTCTTTCAACGAACTTTAATCTTATCGTCTTTCATGATTTTATTCTTAAAAAATGAAAATTTACCGAGAAAAATTTAGAAATGGCAAGGGCGTAAAACTACGTTTATTTGGTTAAGCCTCTCATATTCGACATAAATGTGATCTTGACCTTTTAGTGAGGTTCAAATGTAATATTTTTACGAGTCAAAACTACCTAGAAAATTCAAATGAATTTTTTGTCTTTAGAATGATAAATGTAGATTTTAGTGAAGAAGAATTCAACAACAAAGCTTTAGAGTTCTTCAATGTCTCAAAGTTATTGAATGACAATTGGAACATCAATCACAAAAATGATAAATATTATTTGACAAAAAAGCAATTCATTTCCTTAAAATCTGAATACAGTCAATCATATGAAGACGATTGCAGTGACCCATCAGCTGTGCAATCGAACGAAATTATCAATATAGAATATCACGTTCTCTTTCATCCAAGTTATCAAGTTCCAGTTCTATATTTTAACGCTTATGAAGGTGATTTCCAGTTTTTTTATTTCTATTTCAAAAACATAAATTTCTGGTTTTTTCGTGTTTACATAGATGGAAAACTGATCTCATTTCATGATATTCCTAAAATCTTCGTCAATATCAATGAGCTCAAAACAAGTCAAACGGAACTATTAAATATCGTAACGCAAGCCGAACATCCAATTTTGTTTCAACCTTTCTTTATGTTGCATCCATGTAAAGTTCAACAAGTTTTATCGCAGTTCAAGGAGAGTAAAAACTTTGTGTTGACATTCATCAGCATTTTCGGACCATCTGTAAAGCTCAACCTAAGCTTGGAATATCAAAATTATTTTGATGATCATCCTTCGACTCAAACTTAAAAAAATTTCTGTGATAAATCACTAAAGATACTTAATTGATAATCATTATCGATAACAAAATAAATCTGAAGTTTTCAACTTGATTACATTTTCTATTTATTTGAATGGTCCGGTTTTTATTTACAAACGATTTTTATTAAACCTTCTTGAACACAATTTATGCAGTTGGGCCAACTGGTAAATGGGCAGCTGATGGTTGGAAACCGTTCTCGTCAGCAACATATGTGACTGTGTATGTCTGGCCATCATCAGCAACGAAAGAGAATGATCCACGGACTGAGATGGCTTCGTCTTCGCTTCCAATGTTCTTAACTGTGCCTTCTTCGTCACGTTTCTGTCCATCACTTTGTTCATAAGCGAAGTTATATGAGTTGAGTTCGTTCACGAATGCAGATTTGAGTAATTCGACATCATTTGCTGGTAATGCAACGGCAGCAACGATAACCAAAGCGAAGACGATGAGGTATTTCATTTTAATTGTTGAAAATTTGATTTGACTTGACTTGAAGAAGTTCTAAAACAAACTGATGATTTCGTATGCATATTCAAACTCTTTTATACCAACCAAACCTAATCATTTACTTCGTAAGCAACCTCAGCACCTGATTACCATAATTTTGAGATTTTTAAAAGTTCCTTTCCTTCTATTCCGGTATTTTTATGAGCAACGAATAAAGTGAAAATGTCAATTCAAAAATGCGAGAAGTCAGCCAGATTACCGGTAATCGCTGAACATTGGCCTTTAAAAATATATTTAAGAAAAATGTCTATTTAGTATTTTTTTAATCAACTTTTCTAATTTATTTCTCATAAGTTCTCTCTAAGGTTTTTTAAAATAATGATTTACAAAATAAAAAATAGAAATATGCATTTCTTGCTTCAATTATTGATCTTTCTTCGAGTGATCAGTGATTTGTTGATTTGTATTAAATATTTTGTTTTTATTTGCGTGAAAAGATTCCGTGAGAAAGACATTTAATTAATTGAATTTTTTATAAGTATTGTCAAATACCATTTAGATAAAACTTCATAACGTCACCTTCTTAGCTCATTCATTTTCGATAATCACACAGAAATTAAATTCCTTCATTTATCTTACGTCGTCTGTCTCAAGCGCAATGAAAAGACGATTTTTTTTCTTTTTCACATAGTCATTGCGCATTGATAAAAAAGATTAATTTTTGAGTATCTAAGTGATCTTCAATTACATTAATTCCATTCTGCACACATAAATACTCAATACAACATAAATTCTTAATTTATAAAAGGTTTAATGAAGTAAAGATCAACAAATGACAACTTCTTCTAATAAATTTTCCACATTATTCAATGATTCTCTTTATATGTCAATAATTTCTCTTTTACACTATCGAAACAATGATTTTTTTCCACACTAAATAAGTTCAATCGATTATCTCTCATCTCATACCAAGATTACATTTTTTTTCTTCTTATTCTTCTTTCATTCTTCATGATTCTTGCCAATTTGATATCTCATCGATATCGTCTTTTTATCTCTCAATAATAATCATTAATCAATATCGTGATAATTATTTTGTGTTTCTTCATCTTCTCGTTTTTTTGTGTATTATCCCTGATCATTTTTTTCATCTTCGAGGTAATCTATTATTTATTTGCAAAACTCCTACACAATTACTACTTGCTTCTAGTTTTTAGATTAGTTTTTATTATTTAGTAAAATCAATTCACAGCTTAAATAAAAGAGATAAACTTAATTTTTTTCTTCAGTAATCTTCATACTTATTATTTCGATAGATAAGATGATGAAAGAAATGGAAGCGAGAGTGCTTTTGAAAGACTTTAATTTCTTGTATGTTAAGTTCGATGGTGGATTGGAATCAAGAAATTAGATTAAGTCTATTAATCATCTTTCTTCATCTTTAAGGGTTTCAAACTTTTGTAGACACAAAACCTGACCACCATCTTAAGTTCATTGTTAAGTTCGATTGAAATGTTGAATCGAGAAGGTTAAAGTCATTTAGCCATAATGACTTAACTTTACATACATACAACCTTAAGTTCCTTCGATTAAAACAAAAAAAAAATAGAAATTAATGATGTGGTTAATGATGATGCTTTTGCCTTCAGAAAATATTTAATTAATTTTGTGTCCGACAACTTCTATCACAGCAATATTATTTTCAATTCTCTACTCCAAGCCAATATTCCCTCGATTCGGCACAAATTCTTTAGTTTTACATTAATGAATTTTAAAACGAAAATTTTTTGATTTATGTGGTCATCAAGTTTGATAAAAAACTGGAAAATCATCACGAGATGTGTGTAGAAGAGTCAAAAATTATGAGATTCAAAGAGAAGAAAACTTATGTTGTGAATGAAACTTACTGACATTAATATACAATAATTGTTGTTCCTGCTATGTTAATTTATTGAATTTCCAATTCATTTTCTGAATTTTTCTTTCACTTTTGTTTTTTTTGCACTTTTTTTATAATCTAAGACATCAGCGGATGTGAAATCATTGGCCCGTAAACCCCTTAAAAAAAGGAAATTATTTAAAATTTCAATCTTAATGATTAGCTGAAGGCTTTGAGAGATTATCTTAAATATCTTTCATATTTATCGTGTAAATGATTCAAGCATCTCAACAAATAATTTATTCATGGTAATGTTTCCTTCTTTATGAACTTTCATCCAGAAACGTCGAATAATGTGATCAGCTTGACGTAATGATGGTAACAAAAGCAAAAGTTTTTGCTGATGAGCAACTGCATTGTAATGTCTGCAAAATAAGATTTAGAGAAATTATAATGACAGCAACATTAATATTTATGATGATATGCAGTCATGGTCGTTAATTTCTTTTAGATTTCTATGCCTTTAGAATTTTCGAAAACATATGCAGGGCCGTAACTGCCGACCATCATATTTATCAATTTCACTCACCGTAATATTAACACACAGTCGTTTAATGCACCTAATATTGATTCTCGCAGCTTTTTTAATGCTTCGTAGTTATCTAATCGAATATCACAATTTGACAATGTTAAAGCTTTCAATAAATAATATTCTTCTTTGCTCGCTGATATTTTCTCAAGCCGCTGTGTGATTTGAATGCACTAGAATTAAATAAATGATTTAATAGTATGAAAATAAAATGGTCACTTAAGTCAACTAACGTGATTGAAAAGCTCTGTTGCTCCACATTCTTTAGCTGAACGTTCATCAAGCCAGAAATCTGTGGCAAAGTAGAGACGACCAGTGAATGGAATCGAACGAAATGCCAACATCAATGTTAAGATTTCAGCCCAGCTTACTTGAAGTAATCGCATTTGATCGTTGAGTGGGAGATCAGTGAAACCTGAAATGATATTTTCATTAAAAGATTTTCTCTATTCGTGAAATCAAATGAGAAATTGCTACAAACCTGGGATTTGTTTTGCCCACCCAATAACTCCAACAAGTTCTTTATCATATAAATCACTCAAAATATTGAGCATCTCTTGCGCATCAGTGCCAGCACAATCATTCTTCGGTTCATCATCGTGTTTATTCATCAAATCAATTCCACAATGACCAACACAAAGTTTTTCTGGTTCAAATGACGCCAACACATCCAACATTTTGATATCCTCGAGTGTTTGGGGTGGTTGTGATGACGAATGAGGTATTTGAAGCTGATATGGTTGCATGTTAGGATTCCGGCGATACTTTTGTCGTCCACCTCGTACACGATCCAAGCGAACGCCTTCTTTCAACATTCCCATGAGGAGACACTTTCTAAAGCGACAAGCTTGACATGCCTTGCGTCGACGCTTGTTAATTTCACAGTCATTATTTGCCGGACACGTGTATTCGATGTTGCCTTTAAACATTTATTTTATTAGATTTTACTTCTTTTTACTTTTTTCTTTTTTGCCAGAATAAATGTTTGAATAAATCACATTGAAATGAAGAAAAAAAATATAAAAAAAGCGATTCTTTTGCAATCGTACCTTGAATTGTTCTTTTGAAAAATGCTTTGCAAGCTTCGCAGCTAGCAACTCCGTAATGGAATCCTGATGCTACATCACCGCAAACCAAACACAAACGCCTGAAAGAATAATAGAATGATTTGCTAATTCATTATGTTGATTGGGAAAGTTTGAATATTAAGTAACAAATTATAGAAATTTTAAATAAAGTTTTTAAATGTAATTATTTACACACCTTGGTAACTCTTCTTTCACCGTGTCTTGAATGTTGGAATCATTTCCAAAATCACCGATTGCTGATGTTGTCGAGCTACAGAACTGTCGATCGGGTGAGCCTGGTGATGGCTGTTCTGAGTTTATAAGCGTGTCGGATCCACATTTATAATCCATCTAAAGTGAAACCGATACAAGTGAAACTTAAATAATTAAAAAAAGAGAAACTTCAACTTGAACTTCAAACTTACCGGCTCTTGACCACTGGACCCGAAGCTAAGAATTGAAACATTGTTGTTAGATGACGTCGGTGATGGACTGCAACAGGAATCAATTTCCTGCTTGATACGTGCTGCTGTGCCACCGTCTTCCATCATAGACACCTGAAATAACAAAAAATAAGAGACGAATGATTACGAAATGCTTCAATTGGCATCGCAAAAAACTTAACAATCAATTCGCACGTCTGAAATTTGAATTGACAACAAAGCACATTGGTCAGTTACGACGGACAGACAACGCGACAATGTTTGTTGTCAAATCTTATCAACGAAGTGGGAACGACAAAAAATAAGAAAACAGCTAGATAGAAATCTTTTTTGCAAATAGATAGATAGATTTTTATGCAAAATTATTATGTCACCTTCCCCCGATGTCTCCGTTTTTATCGGGATGTTGTATTTAAATAATTTGGATCAATGAAAAAAAGAAAAAAAGGAGGAGATAAAAATGAAAAATCATATTTTTGCCATGTTGCCAAACTTTACATCACCTTCCGTCCATTCTTTTCTTATCGATTATCATTGAATTTTAATTTTTTATCATGATTAACAAAACGTTAAATGTGTAGTTAGTCCCACGAATGGAAAATGGAAATAAAAATGAAACGAGTAGACAACCGGAAGGATATTAACGTTTGAGGCTGAAATAACGTAAATTATATTTTTCGATAAATGCACCAAAGAATTTTACTTTCATGAATCCAAAAAAGAAAAAGTTTACAATTTGCAATGCATGGAAGAAATGAAATGTCAGGGGAAAGTTTGAAATAAATGTAACAGCAGTAAGATAAGAAAAGAAGACAAGACTATTTACTCGTTAAACGATTTGAGTTGCTATCAATTGAATCGAATTGAATGCGATTGACCCGCACTGCTCTCGATTAATAAAGTTACATAACTTTGGTATTGAAAACATTTTTGTCGAAATAAACAAAACAGAAGAAAAGGAGAGAGAAAGAAAAACGTAAACTTAAAGCCATCTGCTGATGAATTTTATTCGAGTTGTTGGTGAATAATTGGAAAAGGAAAAATACAAATTTTCAAAGATAATTTTTCTCTACAATTTGTATTTTTTTATTTTATTTTATTTCATTCGTTTTTTTTAACGACAAATTTAGCAAACGATTCCGTTACAAGCCGGAAAAGAATGGAAAAAATGTGTGCTATGCATAAATGTTTTTTTGTTGATTGTGATATTTTTTGTCATGACATCAGTCGACGTCAGATTTTCCACTAATTGATCATGAAAACGCTCGCATGTTCCATTCTTCGCTATGTACATGTAAATATTCTTTTGAACGTTGTTCAAGCAAATGAATGCACAGAACACAAGTTTAGCAAGGGAAGACGACGTTGTCGTGTAGATGACTGAAGACCAGTCATGGGACATTAGACTTTCATGATTGTGATTGATGACAAGTTATTGTAAAAATTTGTGTTCTTCAAACCTTTGAATTGTGTGGCTGTTGGCGTTGGATTTGTAAATCGCGTGCGGATAGCGAATTCTCGAAAAATAATAAAAACACGAAACAAAATTAACACGACACCGTCATGCAGCTTCGCATTAAATAATTTACAAAAGGATTTTGATGCAGTTATATCACTGATCATGTCACGATAAATTTAAAATCAAGCAGAGATTTTTTACTTCTCTCTTCAGACTCGCAAAATTGATTTCTCATTCATGTTTTCCAAGATCTTTTTCTCTTCATGAATATTGAGTTGGGCACACTTGAACAAGAGCCTGTTGTGGATCGAATAAAAGCGTCGAACAACACAAAAAAAAATTAAGCTCTGAGTCAAGAAGAAATAAAACGAGAATATTATATTTAAAAACAAAAAAAAATATAGCAAAAGATGCGGCGAATTTTATTTTCAAGTTTTGTGTTTGTTATTAAATAAACATTAGCACATTTTCTTGAACTCAAACTCATGTCAGAAAACATTCAATTCAAAATGTGGATTATAAAAGGCTGCACATTTTTTTTCTTTTTTTTCTTATTTTCGTCTTTTTCTGTGGCACTTTGCAAAATATATAATTTTCGCACTCAACGATCGTTAGTTATAAGCTGCGAAACACATTTTTTGGTCAAGAGATAATCGCTTCACTGTTTTTATGACTGACGTTGACATTTATTTGGATAATCTTTAATTGTGCACATTAGAGACAGAATGACAACATATTTTTTCGTTAATCTTCGTCTTAAACACTTCATCAAGGCGACATCTTCCATGGTTGTCTTAATTTCTCGGTTGTTATCTTCATCATCACAAAAGGCACAAAAAAAAAAATACCGAAAAAGTGAAAGCTTCTCATTCTTAAGCCGTTAAATTGAGTTTTATACTAATTTGTTCATGTAACATTTGTTGAATAATATGTAATTATCATTTAAAGTTCAGAATCTTGACCATGATCTTGCCTCTCAAACAGATGACAAATTATTTTCGTGTTCGCGAACTTTTTTCTCGTCTCAATTCAATTTTTTTCCGAACATGTTAAGTACAATTGAATGGTGATGAAGATTCACCATCAATCATCGTTTCAAGTACGATCATAAACGAAAGATTCCTTTAAAACATCTCTCGAAGATATGAGAGCGTGACTGATTGTAAATTTCAATTGATGGTAAAAGGTTAAACGATTAACCTATCGAATACTGCGGCTCAGCATACGCCCGCCCTAATATGAACTCTCTCAGACATTTTCAAACAAACTTCAGGAAAGTCGATTAGATTTGATGGAAAAGAGAGAAATATTTATCCTGCAAATGATCAATCACAGTCGTTTTTAGCAAAAAAAAAATGAAAGAAAAAAAGAAAAATTAAATGAAATGGGAATTCAATTGTAATCATCATCATTTAGCTGACGTCGAAAGCCTTGACATTGAAATAAAACACAAGAAAGAAGAGAAGGAGAAAAAAATTACTGAAAAAAAATATTTTTTGCTTCTCTCTTTTCACCACCGTTCGCTGTTTACTTCGAAGTCGAAGAAGTTAAAAAAAGGCGAGTTCTCTACAACACAAATGTAACGTGAAGAAAAAGAGCCGCACACAACACATTTCCACGCCAGAAAATTTTACATTATTTCTCGTTCAAGTTCAAGGTCTGCTTCGGTGTGTGAGTGCCGGGTTTTTTTTTTGTTGTGGAACTTATTTTTCATATGTTTCATGTCGCTTTTCGATATTTTTTTTTTTCTGTTGTTTGTTGTTTCCCTCTCTTTGCTGTGTGCTTTTTGGATCTCAAACAAGTCACGGTTTTAGTGCGAGATAATGATGAGGGCCATTTATTAAACATCAAACATTCAAATGTGCGTGTGTGTGGTTTTTGTTGTTGTTAAACTGCGAAATCGTTGATTTTCCCTAACAAATTCGCGAGTCGCGACCGAATGAAATCGAAATCTAAGCGGAATCCATCTCTGTGCTTCTAACGATTCGCATAGCAATAAAAGATATTACATAATCCCAACATTTTTTATGTTTTTCTTTACGTTTTTGTTTCGCTGTTTGTCTGATTTTTTAAGAAACAAAAGGATTAGGAAAAAAAAGCGAAATCTAACAATTTTAAGCGTTTTTCTGGTGTTTAGGAGAATTTAACGATTATGTGACTCATTTATTTGCTATAAATAATAAAAATAAATATTAAGAGAAGCTTCAAGCGATCAAACATTTTGTGGTCGTTATTAAGTTAATAATCATAACAATTTTGCCATCATTTTCAAATGTTTCCCATTAAATATTCTTATTCTCGATCACGATAGAAAAAGAAATAAATAAAAAGAGTTGTATCAAAATAATTACGCTACAGAGAATCTGTTTCCAACTGGTAGTTTCTTTTCGAGGCTTCGTACAATATAAATTAATTTCATTTTAATTCTATTCCGAAAATTTATCCATCTTGAGGTTTTAGATTGTCGAGAGAACCGAGCCACAACCCGCAAAGAAAGCAAATATCATCGAGGAGAAAAAAATATAAAAAAAAAACATAACAAATAAGCGAGAACTAAGAAGAGTTCGGTTGAAAAGGCATGAGAAATGCTAATGAAATTATAATCCCGAAAAATAAAGGCAATATATCTCTGTTGCCCCGCAAATGAGCGCCCTCAAAAGCGATTCAGATTCGTGAATTTTATGCAAGATGGAAAAAGAAAAAGATTCCGAAATGAATTACTTAAAATTTTCAAGTTCATGATATTTATTTTTAAAAGCTATGTACACCGGTACTGACACACATTGAAACGTAGGAAAGCAAAGTAGCAAAGTTTGAAGCCATATGATGAATATAAGTTTGGTTTTTATGTATTGTTAATTCACCTAACCATGAGAATCGCACCGACAATGATTGTGCAACTTGCTTTGCAATTAAACTGACTCATTATTGTTGTCTGCTCAAATTTTTTTCTTCTTTTTTTTGCTAATGCAACTGACGAGACTTGTCTAACTGAAAGTATGTATGTTAAATGTTAAATTTACCACGCACTCGAACGAGAATGAGAATTCTATTTTAATCGCGTTCTAGTGTCTGACTTTGAGAATGAAAAACGAGAACTTCATGCAATGTGCACCTCGAAAATAGACAATAAAGTTTGGTAGCGCAATTGCAGACTTCCGATTGTCTTCTGTAAATAAATAAGTTGCACGAAGAGGAAAAAAAACTGAAACTGAAGTCGACATGTCTGGCTTTTATGACAGTTGTGCTTGCCTTCTTTTATTACACAATTAAAATTCTAAATTCGCGCAATAAATTCGGTAAAATAGTTTCTTCTTCATTATTTTCTACTCTGTTGTCTTTTTATTATTCATTTTCTTTCACAAGTCTATGAGTCGATTCCGACTTATGACGAGTTCGTTTTTTTTTCGTCTAACTTTGCTTTCAATGTTTACCATTTTTACTTTTATTTATTTTTGCTAGAAGTTTTGACGCTTGTATCTGTACATGTTTTACGATGAACTACAGAAAAAAAAAACTAAAAACAGACGAACATATTAATTCAAGAATTCAAGAATAATTTACAAGAAGTAAAGAATAATTTAAGTCTGATAATTTGTCATTAAGCTAGAAATAAAATATTCACTAACAAACGAGTTTGATGTTATGTAATAAATAGAACTAACATAACGCGAAAGGTTTAGTGATGATAATTATTTTTTTTGTAATGACTAAAGTCTCAACAATTAAAGCTGATTTAACTACATATAGCCCATAACTAAGTAACTATATTTATTTGTTCCTTTTACGATTATTGCTTTGTTTTGCTTGTTATGGTTGGAGCTTCTCGATCGATACGAAAAGCTGTTTGTTTAAATGGTTTGTGGGGAAAATTTTCAAAGTTAGGTAAAGAAAGAACTTTCCTTCATTTGTTTGTCAGATAAACTGTTTGAAGTGACATTTATGTGGTTGGAAAATGAAATAAAAAGAATATAAAGTATCAATTTAACGTTCAGTTTGAGTCTGAGAAGGAAAACGAAACGAAAACTTAAACTCAATAATTCAAGCTCTAAATGTCACCGAGAAATCCTTTGTTTATGGTCACCATTAACCGCAAACTACACCACTGATTCAATTAAGTGAGACTGAAAGCACATAACAACGAAAAGGGGAGTGAAAAATAATAATGAAGAAGGTTTAACGAAAATCAAAGGAGTTCATGAAAACTGCTTTGCGAGAGTGAGAAACAATAATTTTCCCTCACAAGTTCCAAATGACTTTAAAAACTTCAACAAAATCTATTGCGGGCGCCGGTGGCTCGAGTCAGGAGTTAATACGATTAAAACAAGAATTCGAGCGAAAATATCAAGAAAACGAAGTGTCCGAGTCGAGTGAGAAACTGAAGGAATACAAGTTTTTGGCCATTTTGGGACAGGGAGCTTTCGGCTTGGTGGTAATTTATCATTCTTCGTCTTCTTTTAAATTCATTCGTTTCATTCAAACTCTTACAATGTTTCATTTATTTATTATTCGTTCTCCATCAACTAACATGTATAGAAACTTGTGAAACACGAACCGTCTGACAAATTTTACGCTGTAAAAATTCAAGCTAAAGAGAAAATTGTTCTATCAAAGCAAGTCAAACACTTTTTAAACGAAAAACGAATACTAAGTGCTATCAATTTTCCATTTGTTGTCAATCTAATGTTCTCATTGAAAGATAACAGCAATTTGTACCTCGGTATGCCTTTCATTAATGGTGGTGAAATGTTTACACATTTAAGAAAGTGAGAGAAAAGTTTTTTATTGAGTTAAAACTTCATAAATTGAATTTTTATTGGTTTCAGAGTTAAAAGATTTGAAGAAGATCTTGCAAGATTTTATGGTGCTCAAGTTGCTTTGGGTCTTGAATATTTGCATTTTATGGGGATGGTTTATCGTGATTTAAAGCCAGAAAATATTATGATTGATCATTTAGGATACATCAAGATAACTGATTTCGGTTTTTGTAAAATTCTTAAGGGACGTACGTACACATTATGTGGAACGCCTGAATATCTCGCACCAGAAATTATTCAACACAAGGGATATGGAACAAGCGTTGATTGGTGGTCCTATGGAGTTCTTCTCTTTGAAATGTCAGCCGGCTATTCACCGTTCAGTGTTGGAGATCCCGATCAGATGCAAATGATGGACAAAATTGTTCAGAAAAATTTCAGAATGAGCTCAAAATTCAGTCACGATTTGAAGAATCTTATTGGCCATCTTTTAGAGACTGATTTAACAAAACGTTATGGAAATCTTAAAGACGGTGTTAAAGATATCAAAAATCATTCATGGTTTAAAGTCATCAACTGGAGTTCACTTTATAACCAAAGCATTGAATCGCCATTTGTACCTCAAGTCTCTGGTCCCGGTGATTATTCACAATTCGATAAATTCAACGACATATTTCTTCCCGTGTCGAACACAGACAAATATGAAAAAGAATTTGCCGACTTTTAAGTTGCTTCCATGCACGAAAATTCTTGTGATTAATTTAAATTAATTTTCTTGGACTCTCGAGCAGAGAACAAAACCAAAAAAAAAACTTAATTGAGAGAAAAAGAACAAATTTGCATGACATGAAGCTTGTGGCGTTTTTTTTTTAATTTTTTATTTGAAATAAAAGACGATTACGAGAAATGAAATTACCTTTTGGAACAAAAGAACTGGTTTTAGCTTGACGAATATATTTACAAATAATGAGCTTTAATCCAGGAACTTTGAATGATCATTAATTAACTATCATCATTTATCGTTTAGGCTCAGTGGGACTCTGTAATCAACGTTTAGAACCGACCGTCATGTGAATGTCTACGGTGAAATAAAAGCGAGAGTAACAAGCGTGTGGGTAAATCAAAACTTTTATTAATATTCCTAGTAGAATTCTATTTCGCTACTTCCTCTTAACAAATCTTTTTTTTCTATCTAACCATAATGGAATTACAAGTTCAAACTGACAAAAAAAGACTTAAAAGATTACGAATGACTCCAGAAATTCCTGAGATTTCGCATCAATTAACTTTATTATAGAAGGAGGGAAAAAGAAGAAATGATGATGTAATAATAGAATAATGGCCATTAGATTTTGTTTCTCTTTTTATGATCGTTTCTTGCCTTTTGTGGTAAACAACTTTTCCTCTCGTTTACGCTGAAAAATAAATTATTCGCGGGAATTTTCTTAATTTTTTTCTTCCTCTTTTTCTTTTAATTTTTTTTACAACCAACCAAAATTCTTGATTTATTGACTCATTTTCTAAGCAAGTAGAGCTTTGAAATCGCCAATGACATCATTAAGGAAATTTCATGACCATCATTTCCATTCTTGGAAGATGTGGCTCTTAACTTAACGAGCTCAACAACAGTGAACGACAATCAAGATAAAACTCGATTGGAAGAATAAAAAAAATTCATCTAAGATATAAGAAATTACCACCACTCAACATCATCTCCACCTCTTCCAACAAGAAGGTTCTTGTTCTTACAGTCGCAAAAATCTTATATGTTTGCTTTACCATCATTTCTTTTTTACGACTTATTTTATTAATCTCATGAGTGACGAACAGGCTAGAGCGAAACAAACTAAACGTTTAAAGAAACTTCTTATGGAGACCAAGACACGAGAAATTGAAAAAAAAACATGTATAAATATAAGAAATAAATCTTTTCAAAGTGGCCACGAGAATTGTTAAGCTAAAAGATGGAAGAAGAAGCAGGGAAAAAAATCCCCAGTACAACAATTATATTCCATTATTTCAATTTTATGTGTAGATATCATACTCATTATTAGGCCGCAGCAGGGGGAGATGGAGATCACTACGTATCGCAAAGCACTCAAGCTCGTCCATAGGTTATCGCCGAATCATCAAACCATAAACTGGCCATTAAAAATGCAATAACATGACGTCATGAGTCAAATCATGGTAAGTCAAGGCCAGTAGCTAGAACAGAACATTTTCTTTATACTTCGGTGAAATCAAATTTTTGCTATGCGCGTTTATCAAGTCAAGCACCATGTCGAAAATGTTTATTTTCACGTCCGATTCTAGAATTTTTTGTGGTATCATTTGTGAGGCAAATTGGTTTACAATATCTAATCACCCCAGACGCGGATTACATCGATTTTTTACACCTTAATGAGTCTCGCTTGTTGCCATCGTAAGTTGAAACTTGTCCCAGACAAATCGCAATTTCGAACTGCGCCATCATAAAATAATAATAATAATAATAAATAAAAAAAGAAATATTCGTCGCTGCACATGTACAAGCTTCCATTAGATTTCGTAAATTAGTTCCATTCTTTTCGATATATAAACGACTGAGACACCAACAATAACTTTTATTATTATTAATGATTTTATACATTATAAAAGAACAATAAAAGCACAGCTAAATGTGCGGTTGTGTGGTTCAAGAATTAATTTTTTTTTATTTTAGATTTGCGTTGAGTCTGACTTGACTACTATTTATTAGAAGTAGAACTCATTTGTATCTCTTTCGCTAAATTCAGATACTTAAGCGGCAACGAGCGTCGTGCGTTTCATATCTTTTCTCAATCAACAGACTGAATAAAAGAAGTTTTTTGCTGTGCCGTCTATTAAATAGTTTTTGATGTTCATGCAATCCATTAGGCACTTTTTTCTTCTTTCTGACTTCAACAACCGTGCTGCGGTGTTAAGTCGTCTACGCGAATTACACGCTTGCCACTAATCATAATAATTTCGGTATTAATTCAACTGAAATACCATCTACTCTCTAGTCATCATGATATGATTTCTAACAATGATGGTTTATACAAGCCGAGTCATGATTAACAACAAGAAATGACTTGACGATCGTTCGCTGCCATTTTTTTCCTTCCCTTTGAAGGCAAAAAAATATTTAATTTCAATAAGAAAAATTGTATTTGTTGTACATTAATGACAGTCATTTCGTCTGTCGTTTCATTTCAAGCCTTGCCAAAGTCAAATTTTCTTTTACATCCATCCATCTGTACACAGAATGTACATAGTGGAGGTTCGTTCTGAAGTAAGTAAAACAAAATAAGAAAGAAAAAAAAATAACTTAGGCGAGCGAACAAGAAAACTTCTTGGTACTGGTTGACTTTTGCTTTCGTAACTTTTTTTTTGTTTTCTTCCTCTTGGATTTCGCTTTCTGTATTTGAATAGCAAGAGATTGCTGATTCTTTTTTTCTTTGTATTTTAAAGAAATCGTCAGAAAGACAGGCGAGAGATGAGGGAAAAAATATTATTTTTTTCTTATTGAGTGGTAGACATTTTTCTCGTGGTGCTTGAGACTTGTTTGACAGCGATGTGCTGTTTGATTTGAAGGAAGAATTCAAGTTTAGGTCTTTCGATGAAAAAAAGGGAAAAAGGAATACAGATGATGGAACGTAACATTGGAACAGCTCCTTAAAATAACTTTTTACATAAATAGTGACTGACAAAAGCTTATATTACTTTGAAATTTAAATTTTTTTTTTGCTGCTCAAAGATCATTAACAAAGCGATTAGAAACATACAAAATGTGAGCTTGTCTTAACAATATTACATTTATAAATAATATTCTTATGATGAACTGTCGAAGAAAAAGCTTGTCTCGAAAATTTACATTTTTCAAACTATCGGTGGTGGATGCTTGCGGGGGCAACAAAAAAAATGATTAACTCATTTAAATTTTTCTTTTTATATTTCTCGTTGCAGAAATATGATGCTTCGAACGAACAAGTTCGACAATTAGCAATGACAGTGGGAGATATAAAATGTCTGTCATCTTTCATCAAGTCGGAGGATCGATTACATGACGAACATAAAGAAACGTGAAATGTCTTCGAACCGCCGATCTTCTATTTTTGCTGTTATCAATTGCTGAATGTCGTAATTTCTTGACCCTTTTTCATGGTTTAATTATTTGTGTCATAAACAAAAACTTTCTGTTGTTTTCAATTGTTTATCATCTCAAAAATAGAAGAAAAAAATCGAAAACCTCCCAAAATACTAGACGAGTTATTAATATTCAAAAACAAAACCAAAACATTAATTTCATTATCAAGGTGAGAAGTTTTTAATTTATTTATTTGTATTTATTTTGCAAAAGTTTCAGCAATAAAATTACTGATAAGACCCAAAAACATTCTCAGCAACAAAATTGATTCAATTTCGCAAAAAGGAAAAGAAAACTTTCATCAAATTGATTTTTTATTATAAATTTACAGGAAAAATAATTCACATGCCGCAGTTTTTCACTTCAAGGTTTTAAACTTGAACTTGAATTTACTTCTTGTTTCGATATATTTTTTTTTCGTTTTGTGTTTTTGAACGTGAAAGAAAGTTGCGACATTGAAAAAAAAATTAAATTCAGTTTGCGGAGATTTTTAAAATTCCAGTGAGTTTTGTAATCTAATATTCCCGGTGCCTGAATTCTTCCACCTCATTCTATAGATCGCTGCTTTAAATAATGAAAAATTATTCCACACGAAACAAAAGGCTTAAACTTTAGAGAGTGATTAAATTACATTTTGGTTTTACACAAACAAAAACTCTCGAGTTGCGTAACCGAACAGAACAACAAGAAATGCGCTACCACGTGAAAAAGATGCACAAAACTGCACTTGAGCGTATTCAATGGAACTTTGAGGGTTTGCATTATACAAACATTCAGAGACTGCTTGTGTTGATGATGATCTCACCGACACCGCACTATAAAAAATAATTGCGCTAATTGCATCTTCGCTGTGGTTTTTCTTTTTTCTTAAATGATTTACATTTTGTGCCATAAACATTGATATTTTATTGGCCATTAATTATTTACACGAAAAAATTCACATACCACTTCTTGCATCCAGCAGTCCATCATTTTGGCGAGGCGAGTGTTTGCAATAAAATGCAATTTAAGTCTTAATTGCTTCCACTAATTGCGAATTGTTGTTTAAACTAAAACGTTTTATTGTTTTTTGTGTAAATCTCAAAGCAATAAAATCAGAATCTTAATGAATTGAAATAATCATTTTGACTCAAAGGCACTCAAATCGTTCTTTTTTTCCACAATAGATTTCGTTCGAAGTATCGTCTTGAATATCGATAATTTATCGTCTTGCAGCAAACACACTTTCTTACTTGATAAAATCCTTTTATTTCTCAAAACTTTGATCTTTATCTTCACGACTTTTTCAACGAAGTTTCAAAGAAAATATAAAAACTTTAAACACATAAAATATTGCAACACGTTACAGAACCTGGCGTGGATTGAAAATTAAAATAAAAAATAAAGTTTTGCAAGAGGCAACAACACAAAAGGAAACTTTTTTTATCTTTTAAAAATCAGAAGGAAAAAAACACAAAAAATAATCGAAGGAAAAAAGTTTTTCAATAAATTTTCTCTCCCTCAATGAGCGATGTTCGTAAGCAAGTTGTTTCGTTCATGAGCCTCAAAATCCAACTGACACACAAATTTATGTATTACACAAATATTATATATGATGATGGTTGGAAATATTGCCGTAGAACGAAAATGAAAACGAGTGAAAAAAATATATTAAAGTGTTTCTAAAGCTTTTTTTTCGCCTGACTCTTGCTGATTGTGTTTTTTGACTGTATAATGTTCTTTCGCTCGCAAAAATTCTCTGGTTTCTCGCAATATTTTTTTTATTTCATTTTCATTATTGAATGATCGCAAACAGCGCACCAACACAAACTCAAGCTCATATAGACATGGAGTTGAGTCTGATCCCCTATCAATACCAGGGTTGTTGGGGAGTATGGAATGAGTTGAGTTAAATGATGTGTTATATTTAAGTCTTCCCCCTAAATACACGCTTGTGCTTCTCGCTTATGACCAGCGATACAAATCAGCAATTGATTTCTCACTACGCCCAACATCGACTTATAAGAATGAAAAAAAAAAGTTTATTGAGTACAAGACACACCTGAAGCGAGAAAAAGAAGTCGAGGTGACGACAGCAGATTTTTTGCTCCTTTTCTTCATTCCCGAAAAAAAAAGAGAAGAATTAACATCACATGAAGCGATGTCCATCGAAGTTGTTTACATAAGCGCTAATCTAGTAATTGACATTACAGATCGATCGAATTGTTTAATTGAAATCTCACGAGAATACATATGAAAACAAAAAGAAATACATTTAGAAAACTCCCTACATAGTGGAAATTTGAGTGTGTGTTCGTATGCGTTCGAAGCTTATGTCGAAAGCTACTTGTCTTTACCGAAAGAAAAATATAAACATCTTAATCGTTTGTTTACATTTTATATTATGTGCACTGTGACGTGCACGAGAGAAGAACTTGTTTCTCACACGCTGGGACTCTATCGAAATGAAATGTTTCCCAGCTTAACTCCTTGTTTTTCGTCGTTCGAGAACAACGAGAACAACTATTTAGAAGTTCAAGGATTTTCAACCATAACTTTGATTAACCCAGATTATGATTCCATTGAGAAAAGCTGTTACATGTTGAGGTTTTAAGAGAAGCACGAAACCTTACATAAAGTCCTTGATTCAATGCACTTTGTGAAAGGTGAAATTCTCAATCGCGTGCGCTAACTTTACCAGCTATTTACATTTTTAATAACATGCTCACATATTCCTTTATCGTCATTCTTAATGTAAATTAAGCTCGAAAGTAAACTTGCAATTTTTTGTTTTAATGTTAATATTTAAACATATATTCTTTTAATATTTTGAATAAATATCTTGTCAAGTTGTCTCTGTGTGAAGTTTAATGGAATGACTGCATTTGCAACTTTTTTCCGATTTCATCTCCTCCCCCGCACACACGAAACTCGTAACAAGTTTGTGATGATTAAAAAAGCCTTGAACTTGCCGTCAGTAATTTGTGGTTGATATCAATTAAAGACAATAATTACCTTAATTCGAGACATTTTAACAAATCATTTCCTCCTTAAACTTTGTTGTCAATTATTTTTGTCTGATTTATTTATTTTTATACTTTTGTTCAACAACAAAACTTTGAATATTATTTATGATTGCTATTACCAAGTGTAATATACTTTTCACTTTTTACCGCACTTTTAGTTGAATGTTCTTTAGTCACTTTCAAAAAATGAACTTCCTTCGAATTCCTCATAAATTTGTTCTGGACAAGTGTTGGTGAGAAAAATTATGCAATTTTAAAAAATATTAACATTGACACTGAATTTGTAAATCAATAACTTTAGCACTTTTACAATTGTTCTTCAACTTTATAGTTGGGTAATTAAAGATAAAAAGATTCTAGAATTTCCACTTTTGGATAAATTTCTTATGAAGAAATTTGTCGAACCACAATTAAAATGACTCGAGAAGTTAGCACACGAAAGAAGATTACGTCTGAGGTGCAACTTGGTCTGTCTGTCATGAGATTTAATGAATTTAAAATTTAATTTTTATATTAACACTTATTAGGTAATTAGGTTGATTCTGACAAATTGAAGACGAATACTGTGAGATTCATGTTCCTTGTTATTCGAAAGCAATTGCACAGTTACAAATCTTATTTAAAAGAATGAAACCCTCGGGTTTTTAAAAATATTTTTGAGGGGTATAAAACTTTCACATGCAAATCCATAAATATTCAACGGCTTTTAAATTTGAATTACTCTCAGATAGCGCCATCTGTTGTCAAACGAATTGTGTCTTAGTTTACGTTGAGATGAAATTTTGCGTTTTTCTTTCTTTCATTCATTCATTCAAAAACTTCCTTCAGAACGCGTCGTAGTATTTAAAAAGAAACATGTTTCTCGTGAAACAACTAAGATAAAACGCGTTGTGTTATTAATAATAGTAGTTTCTGAAGCGTGTGTAATCATAGATTCTGTAAGTTATTAATTATTTAACACAATACTTTGCTAATGCATACCTCTGTCAGCAAAGGTGGAGATAAAATTATAAAGCGTTAACGATTTGATAAAACATTAATTGTTATCTATTAAAAAAATTATGCAAATAATTTTGTTGAAATGAAAATAATCTGTGCAATGTTATTTTATGATTTTGTCGAAAAAAAAACTATCAAATAATCTTTTCTTATGCAAATTAGTGCATGATGAGAAGACGAAGCAACATTGTCTTATATTTGAATATAAAATAAAAAGAAAAGTATTCAACATATGGAATTTCTGTTCGACATCTTCATTTTGTTTGATAACAAAGACATTTATTTTAACCCCATGTTTATTCAGTTGATAAGAAACAAGGTTTGAAATTACGCAAAATTGTGTTCAAATAATATTGCAACGACAACATCAGACAATTGAACAAAAAAAATCGATTATGTTGGAGCCGAAGAGAGAAAGGACATTGCACCAAGGCGATACTAAAACACAACAGAGTTGAATCATAACAACTTCAACCCTCGAAAGTTTCCCTCCTCAAATGTTAACTCTACTTCACCATGAAATGGAAATTTTGGTGTTTCTTCGCGTTTATTTTCATTTTATGCGTCATTTAAATTTGAGATTGTGTTGCGAAGGGTTTGGTGGCTTGCAAAAGTTGTTAATGGATGATTATTTGACATTGGCATGAAATATGTGCGGTGATTTATCCATATGGGAAATATGAACCCATAACTTTCTTTATAACTGTTTAAACTTTCGATAATTAACTTTTGCTAATAGCCAAACGTGTCATCAGCAAACATTTTAAAATGACTCACATAACTTCAACTTCTTAAATGTGCTAAACCTCTCAATTAACTTTTTTTAGTTTGTCAGAAGACGGTGAATTGTGAATAACTCAGAGCTACTGTTAACGTGTCTAAGTAAAAGATATTTATGCTTATAAACAATTCATTTATCAAAGTACTCTAACTTGTTTAAAAATTAATAACAAAAAAATTTGACTGGTCATAAAAAATAAATTTCATTCCCTTGATGATTGAATTTTATCGTGAAAAATCAAATAAGAAAACTCAACGTGAAGTTTAAGGCAAAAATAAATTGCGAAAGTTGTTGATTCATAAAAAAAAACTTTCCTCTCAATTCTTTGCAGTTCAAACATGAGAATTCTCTTGAGTTAAAAGAAGGAAAAGTTTTGTGATCAATCTCGAAGAGATTAATGACCAAAGAAAATGATGTTAAGATCACTTCATCCTATCATTCTTATAATTTTGTTCTGTGATCTTCGTTTTATTGTGTCTACAACAGCAATGTTAATGAATAATGTGGCAACAATTGAAAGGAAGCACCCAGAAGAAGCTTCTTTTGTAGAATATTTTAAGGATCATGAAGTGTCAGAGAAACAAGCACGAGAAAATCTTCGTGGTTTAAAAGAAAATGACTTTGCAACACCAGCATATTGCAAAGCATGCAGTTTAGAACATCGAAAGTATTGTATCTCGGAAAATCTTCTCAAGGATCATTGTTGTTGTAATCAGTCACATAACAAAGGTGAGTTTAATGACCTTCGTCATTTGTATTGATTTATGTAACGTCGTAACTCTTAGGGCTTCATCTGATCGCTAGAAATCAATTTCCGCCCCACCTTTGTTTGTTAACAAACATCTCATTGATCTTCCCTACTTTAATGATCGTTAGAAAAGACATTCAAGCTTGAAAAATTTATGCAAAAACATTTCTAGATCGCTTTTTGTTCATTTATTTTCGTTAAGATTGCATGAGAATATGAAATTTTGAAGGTTGATACTTTGATTTAAATGAGAAAAGAATATTTTTGAAGTGATAAAAGTTGACAATTTACATACGTAATGCGGTGGGTGACGAATGTATTTTGTTTATGTCGTAAAATGATCCATAATTAGACGTTATGTGATAACCATATGTAGTGAATCATTTAAAGAATCTTCAAGCTTGTTGTTTAATTCACTAAATATTGTTTTATGACGACAAAAAAAGACTTCAATTTATATTTAATTTTTTTGATTATCAACAAACTTCTCTTTTGCTAATTCTATTCAAAAGAACAAATTCAATTAAAACGATTAAAGGCAATTTAGAAAAGTTGCATGCAAATATTTAGAAATGTGCAGTAGTTAAATACATAACAAATAAATGATTGGAAAATGAATGTTGAATCTCTGCTTCAGGGCTTCACGAATAAATTTTTTTTAAATATTTCAATTGCTGACAAAGAATTTCTTCATTTTCGTCTTCATCTCTGCATATTTTACATAAAATAATTTCACTTGTCGAACAAATGAACCTTCGTGTATGCATTTTGCTTCATAAACAAAAAGTTTTTCATTGCCAATTGTGTTAGAAAACAACCACGACAATGAACAATTTTCATGTGAAACTGTCTGCGATTTAAACATTTAGAGCAATTCTCAATGAGACAAATTTTTGTGAAAATTCTTATTAATCCATTAATTGTTTTCTTAGTGTTGCTTAAATTGATTTTGCGGTTAACTGATAGCCTTCACGGCCGATAGCCACAGACTTCGGGATTTGAATGTCAGGGTGGTGGTGTAAGATTAAATTTCTGTTCTGATCATGAATAATTTACTTCATTTAAATATTCAATTATTGATTTGTTATTTAATCATGAACTTAGAATCAATCAATTTTTCATCTGATTGGATTTTGTCTTCTCTTCTCTTCTTGTTAATCAATCAACAGAACAACTTTATTTCATTCCACACACATGTTTCATCAATGAAGATCCTTGTTATCCATCATTAGGATCTTGTCTGGTAAATGTCACATAACTACTTATTATCTATCTCATGCTATTTTAATGAATTAATTTTATTTCTTTTAACAGACAGTCTCCGAGATAAGAAACTGTTGCTGTGATGCAAAACTTAAGAAGCATTGTAAGTAAACATCGCTTGTCATGAAAAATTGATAAACTCAAATACAAGTTTTATGACTTCTTCATCATAAATCTACCATAACAGAATCTAAATCATCACGTAATCATTGTTACATATCTAAACCAGAGCTTTCACTGCTTCATCTTCTTTCAAACGATGAAAAAATGATTGTTTATCTTAAAAATCATTTCAATAAGAAATCATCCGGCTGCAAAATAATTGTTGAAATTCAAACATGATTTACAGACTCTGAATCTTTGTACCATTCATAAATTTGTTGTGAATGATTAGCGTTAATATATCAGTGATATTTACTCTTGTGATTATCGAAGTTTAATGTCATTTCAATATGTAACAATTTCTTTTCATCTGTGGCAATAGTTTCAGGTGCTAATAAGCATTGTCAGTAACGTATGACTTCTGTTTACCATCAAAAGTTTCATCGATTCTAATAAAATTTCACAATCCACATCTCGTAAATAAAGTAATGAAAATAAATAAGTTTCATAGGTAATGAGAAATCATTTCGATTAGTCATGACTCATGATTCAAGTTGCTAATTTATCAAGGAAAAAACCGTCTTGAAATCTTCTTTCTTCAGCCGCGCAATCAAATGATTTCAAAACTTCGATAATCATTTGAATCAAGATTTCAAATTGTTTAGATTAACTTTTCATTACTTAAGAGATTTGTTTTTTCATTTTCCTCTTTGATACTTTTTATAAATGAACTTTATATTGTCCAAATATTTTCACAATCACGTCGACACTTTTCATGGCTACGTAAAATATTTTCACAAATTATTTGGCCTCCAGTTGAAATTTATCCAGTAAACAATCAAAAGAATATTTTAAACTATTAATCTGTAAGATACATAATTAATCTGATTTTCTTTTCTGATTCATGATTACTTAGGGAAATCGGTTCTTTCGGATGCAAACACAAGCAGATCGAGTAAACATTTGTCGATTATTCTGGCGATTTCACTCATTGTTTATGGCCATTGAATAGACTCCAGCTTGACCAAGTGCCTGCAAACGACGCATGACTCCCGAAACACTCACTACATAAATGGTTCATTTATTTTTAAATATATTTTTCTAAACAAAAACGCTTCGCATGCTTGCGATGATGAACACATTTTGCAATTTTTCACGTACGAACTAAATAGTCATTATTTTTGGGAGTAAAGAGTTGTGCAACAGAAAATGTATAGATATGTATTTAGAGAAACCAAAGTACTAAGTATATTTTAAAATAATAAACAAAATTTTAAGAAATTTAAGAAAAAAAATCTAAGTTTTGAATTCGATGGCAAAATGTTTGAGAGTCTTTCTTTGAAAATGTTAGAAAAGGTTTGAGAAACTGTCCATCAATATAAATAAAAACTTTGAAATAGTTTTGAGACTCGCTGGTGTTATTTATAAGTTTATCAATCAAGTCAAGTAGCTTAGTGACGCTAAAAAAAGATGTTTAATGATAAAATTTGAAAACGAACACATGCAGTTAAAATCGAATAAAGATTTGGTTTAAACAGAACTTTGTAACTTTGTCTCGTGCAAAGTGCAACCGTCTGTCTGGATCAGATCACCACCCACATGTGTTAATAAATGAAAATAAAGAAAATTATCCAAAAGATAAGATTAGATTTTTTGATATCTTTGACTCGTGTGTATGTTTCATAATTTTCAGTCACAATCTCGATTGACAACTTGTGAGTGATTGCTGATTACTTTGAAGAAAAAATTGATGAGTATAAAAACAAGTGAATGAAATAAAACATTGCAGTTGATTTTGGATTCTTTTTCAGTTGTGTAATCAAATATATTTCCGGCAAGGTGAATTATAGATTTACGATTTACTTGTGAATAAGAGTTGAGTTTAAGGATTTTTTTTTAAAAGATGGCAGATGAAGTTTTCAAGAAAATCGAAGCACGATTGACAACAGTTGATCCTAATGATCGCAAAGTTGTGCACATTTTCAAGTTCATCGTCACTGATGAGAGTGGTGATTTCTTTAAAGCATGGGTTCTTGATTTGAAAGCTGTGAAAATTTATTACACAACAGCTGAAGCGGACGATGAAGGTGTTGAAGTCACTTTAAAGATGAAAGAATCAACATTAACAGCAATTTTGGCAGGCGAATTAGACTCAACCAAAGCATTGAACGATGACATGATTGATGTCGAAGGAAACTTAGAACTCATCTACCTTCTTAAACCATTCATTTCAAGTGTCTGAGACTGAAAAGTTTAGAAAATAAAGATTTTAATCAATACATAAATGTTCGTTGAATATCAAACCCATCGATTTATCACCAGGCGAAATTTCCTTGACTAAAAAATCTTTTTTTCCCGAAAAATGATAAGAGCTTAGTGGGACTTTGGATGATAAAAAGTTTATATTCTGCTGAAATGATAAAATATCTACGATCAACATGCAACCAAAAATAATCCCATGAGGATCACATTTCGTTGATAAAACCAACTTTTTTTAACAATATCAGTTCAATCTTAACGAAATCACAAAATATTTTGCATTTATTACTCAAACAAAAATTTATTATCTTGTGAGTAAACAGAATTTAATGTTGACTAACGTTTAGAACTGACTATTGATATTATTCTCCGAAGTCAAACTGAGTTCATTTAGTTTTTATCTCATAAATATGAGTGAATGAGTCTTACAAACGAATTTCATTAGCTACATTCTAATCACATATAAAAGTATGAGAGAATAATCACGTAAATCGGAATTTAAATTAATTATCTTATTTTCTACATCGACTATAACTAACTAAACGACAATGGAATGATTTTAATCTTACAATTAACTAAAATCTAATTGGAAAATCATAAAGTTAGCATGAAGTACACTTAAAGATCACAAACTTCGACCTATCAATACACGTGCGCATTTCCCACAATGTCTGTATTTGCTTAACATAGAAATCCAATCTCTACTTAAATAGACAACAACAAAAAATAACTTTATGGGATTATTAGAGAGTTACATTCGTCAGTTTGTCATCAGAAGCTCTGAAAGAAGCATCATGTTGTTGTCTGAAGAAGTCATTGAACGATTCAAGGCAAAAATTCCTTTGCTGAATAATTTTTGTGATCATACAATTTATGGAATAACTCAAATGGATATTTTGCGTACCGATGGATCAGTGAAACAAATTGGTAACATAGAAATTAATTAACGCGTGAACAACATTGCTTGATCTATTTTAATTATTCTTAATTTCAGTTTTGGTTTTTGAGCGATTACTCGTTGTCGAGCCTGAAATATTTATAACAAAAGATAGAATCTATGCCGATGTTTATATCAAAATAAATGATGAAGTTTTAATAGGTAAGAAATATCAAGTATCTAATTAAATAATTTAAGAAATTTTAAAGAGTCATTTTTTATTCAGATATCGCATCGAAAAAAATCTCCCTCGACGACGCATTGAATGAAAAAATGTTTCAAGTTTTTGGTGACGCTGAAATATGGGATCTTCAATTAAAGACTTTAAAGAATATTTTGCCTAATGAAAACTTCTCACCAAGGCCAGAAGAACAACCTAATGATGAACCCAAAGACGAAGCCACAGCCGAAGTTGATGAAGATTATGTAGATTTTGAAAATTTACCTCAGATTGATTTTAGCGACGTTCCCAAAGAATTTCAATTCATTGTTGATCAAATAATCGCTTTACGTGAGAAATATCCAACCCCGAAGAAAAAAACTGTCACTTTTAATAATAACGAAACTAAGAAAAAATAAAGCTGAGTGTTGTAATTACGTTTGAATAATTTTGTAGATGATGATTGTTTCCTTCGACACCTACTGGCTACTGGCAATTAGGAATTGTGCAGAACTTTACGTACGAGTTGTCTTGCAATTCTCTTTTGTGCTTTTTTCGCACTTGAAAGTGATTTAAAGCACAAACCGGTTGAGTACTTTGTGGCGTTATTTAATAATTGAGTCACGGTGTGTTGGCAATTATTTCATTCTCATTACCGTCCATCCGAAACGGATGTTGTTAAGTCAAAAGCAACAATCTTGCCCGAGAACTTCTTCACTGCTTCTTTTTTTCTCTTGCTCAACACTCTTCGAATCTTCTCAGTCGCTATCGAGAGCTCGAAACGTGTTAACGTTGTAACAAAATTTCGTGTTGTTAACAAATAAAAAATATTAAAATTGATCACAGTTTTTGGCAGACAAAAAATTTTAAACTGCTTTAGAATTAAACGATTTTTAAACAACACTTCAAGTGATCAAGCATGAGGAGGTTTGCTGCAATAATAGTGATTATTTTGATTTCAGTCTCATATTCAGAAGCAAATAGTAAATTTGACTTGGATTATGACGGTAAAGAGAACAAATTAAAAATTAATAACTTAAATATCTAAGCAGATGTCGGATAATTCTTATTTCGTGTGTCGATTAAATAAGAGAGTTCAAAAAACCTTTTTAACTTTTGCGACTTAAACTGATGTAATTGATGTCTGCTTCAATTTTAAAGTTACCAGTGAAAAGTGCTCTTGAATACGTTCACAATGGTTAATTACATAAACGAAGGACTTCTAGAGTCTTGCAATTATCCTGAATTTCTTGAAGTATTTTACCTTCACTGATAATTGAATTTATCAATGATTTGTACATACGTGATCTGACATTGACTGGTATCATATTCTCTGCTTAAATCGATTAAATTCTAAGAAAAAAAATGAAAAAATTCTTTTCTGCATCTCTTTATGTGTCGATCAAAACAAATTGAATTTTAGTTCTTTGAACATTCTTTCGTTCTAATGAATTTTCCTTCCATCGACTTGATCTGAATAATTGGTTAGAATTGCAAGTAAATTTCAGGAATTAAACTAAACAATTAACAATTAAAAATAAACGAAACAATGAACTTCAAGAAATGACTTTGAACTTGCAATTATCTTGACCTGCAATTTGCAATTTAATTCTTAAATCTTGTGAGTTAAATATTGATTCACATCTAACGGTTAAATTTTAGCTTAAAGACGAAGCAAAATTTTTCAGTTCCTGTTAGCGTTTTTGTTACCTTGATAAAATTTTTATCATAAAACATCCAAAATTAATAAAAAAAAGCTTCACGGAAATTTCTATAAAGCCGTTCATTGTAACTTCAAAGATCGGGCAACTTTATTCGATGTCACTTGATCGTTAAATTTAACACCTTAACGGTTTCATTGAGAGCTAAATATGTGGAGAAAAAAAATTTTTGAAGCAAAAACAAATATGAGAAGATATTTGCATTTCAACGTTTCACACAATGTTAAAGCGAGTAAGACAAAAGTCGTCCAGATTCTAGAAAAAAAAATCCTTGGAATTATCCACAATCGATTTTAAAAATCCCTTGTTAATGAATCAGTTCTTTAAAAATCCGAAGTCACGTTCCGGTTTAGCACAGAGATCATCGTACTACTTAAATAATTCTGACGCAACCATTGGAAAACTGACCTCGCACAATAATATTTACTTCTCTTCTTTAGGTGATTTACCATCACGATCTCCGTTAGAAGAGAAAACAAAAGAAGATAAAATTCTGAAAGAAGCTTTGGTAGTCGGTGGATGCCCTTTGTGTGATTCATCGGTCTATTCTTATTGTGATCAGAAAATATATCATGATGCTTGTTGGTAGATAAAAAAACTTAAATTATTGTCTTAAATATGTTCATATTGTTCAATTATTTTTATTTCTCTTTTAACAGTTGTGGCTTGCCAGCAGCCCAATGTCAGTATGCAGACTGTTCATACATTCATGCAAATAGTTGCAAGGAACATCAACTTATCACAAAATGTTGCTGCTATAATCCATACAGGAAACTTTAACTGAAACTTAATCATATATTAATAATGTAAAAAGAGACTTAACATTGAAAACTTATTATTATCTTTTTCAAAAATCGAGTAAATATTTTGACAGTGCGTTGAATGATGTTTTATTTGCTTGAAATTGTGAAATTTACTGTTTGAAATCTTGTTTGAAGTAAAATATTTCATGCAAGTATGAAGGTATTTGAATTCCTATAAATTATTTAACTAAACAGAGAGAATTTGAAAAGAATGTGAGTAAAATATGAACAAAGAAATTTAAAATATTTTCTTATTAGAGATTTTTATTATCTTGCCGGAATCATTTTTGAAATTCCTAATCAATTTTTTACTGTCTCGACAAGTCTCAAGGATAATAAACTTTAACTAAATATTTTTACTGGTTATGTATTAATTTCAAGTGTACTTTATTTGATTATTTTGTCAATTTGGTGATAAAGTTATGAAATACATGATTATGCTAAGTTATTCAAGCAAACATACAAACATTGCCTTTAACTAGTTCTATTGTCAAACATGTTTAGATCGCTCAAATATTTTCAATTCTTTTTTCTACTTCCTTAGATGTTTTGAAGATGAAATCAATTTGAGAACTCTTTCAAAGTGATCTTAACAAAGAAGTTCTTCCGCCCACATATTGACAAATAGATTGTTGAAAACCTTTATTGATTTGATCAACAATTTTATCTGAAGATGAAAATTTTGACTCTTTAAAACAAAATCTCCATGATGATTCATCTTTATTCATTAACAAGTAATTAATCATCTGATGTCATATAAAACCCTCTAAATTTAGGATTTGTTAAGTTTCGATACACGTGCGAAGTTATTTCTTCTGGAATTATTTCTATAACCGGTCTCGATGGCAGATTAATGTAAAAGTGAAAATCATCAGCAATTAAATCTTTAATTTGAAACAAAAGGTGGTTCCTTACATTATTTAGTATCCCTCACCAATATAAAAATATATCTTTGATGAAACTTTGCTTCTAATGTTAATTTCAAATGCAAAATATTTACAAAGAAATAGAAAGACAAGTTCAAGTTCAATGACTTTTGATGTGATGAAAAAGATTGGTCAATGGGCACACCCCAAATGAATCTGGTTTAAGAACAATTTTATCTTGACGTCATTAAATATTTTGAGCTTGAACTTCATACAAGATATCCAGTAACAAAGGTTGAAATTCAAATCTTTACTTTTTCTGTAGAAAAAAATGTCGCAGAATTTATGTAAATGAAACATTTTTGTGTTGACTTGCGGAGAAATTAAGAATTTTATTTGATGGAATTAAATCTGAATCACTTCGGTCATTCATTTGTTTAAGTTAGTTTAGTTTTTTGGGATATGGGGAGCTGATGGTTTGAAACCGTTCTCGTCAGCGATGTAACTGACTGTGTAGGTTTGGCCATCATCACCAACGAAAGAGTATGTTCCACGAACATACATAACTTCATCTTCTGTTCCAATGTCCTTCATTTCTCCACGTTCTTCACGAGCTTGTCCATCTCTTGTTTCGTAACTGTCAGTTGATAATGAAAGTTTTTACAAGAAATTAATTTAAAAGACAAGCGCAAACGCAATTATCTAAAATTCAGATCTTACGCGAAGCTGTAGCCTCCCAATTCGACGTCATCCTGGGTAGTTACAACTTCTTCTTTCCGTTCTGGAGAAGCTAAAGCAACAGCAATAGCAACAACAAATAACAAAAAAAACTTCATAATGACAAATATTATTTTCTTGGTTTGCTTATAGACAACGATAAATTTTAATACTATGATTCGTACTAATGAAGTTAGCTCAGAAGTTTTCCCTTTTTATATTCAAACAGAAAATATAATTACCTAATTAAAGAAGTGTTGATGATAAGAATTGTCAATAGTCAATTGTTGACAGGAACCTATTTTCTTACGATATATCGGCAGATATGAATTGCACAATTTCTCAAGCAACCTTTTACAAAAAATATTTATGCATTGAATTATAATAATTATGCTTATTAATTACATTAAATTATTTCGAAGCAGCAAATTGAATTGAATTATTATCACTGCTCATTCAGTGAACAAAATGTCGATGTTATTAGTGTAAAATGAATTGCTCAGAACCATTGACACTAAATATCACTTTATTAGCAACCCATGAGTTTGCAAATCATGGAATTGAAATGAGTTTGCCTAGCATGTTGCTACTTTCAATATCAAAATTTGAATTATCAGTGAAATTATGTACTTTCTTCTTACATTTTGTGACAAAAGCCCAATCATAAGTTGGAAGTTCCAACTTGTAACAGTTCTTACACATAACAGCAAAAGCTAAAAGCTTTTTCAGATAATTTTTTCCTCTTCTATCAAGTTGTCTTTCGTCTCATATTTAATTATTTGATACTCTTGTTTTTTGCTATTTCGTATATTTCATCGATGCAATGCAGGGATAAAGCGAGTTACTTTCTTCATCCTCCAATTAGGTCAACTATATATAAAAATTTCAGTCACACACTATCGTAAATTAAGGGTAATCTTCAGTATGAATAGAATTTTTGATGATGATAGCTGACGTGCTATCAAAATGAGTATCAGAAGGTAATTTAATTAAAAATATAAAATTAAATCGAGTTTTGCGTAATTTTTCTCCAGAATTATGCGCACTATACGAGTAGAAATAAGTTCAATGCGTTCGTTCACTTCAAAGATTTTTACTCATTTTCATTTTAAAATTGTGAACTTTGTTGTATGAAATATTTTTCAATTAGATCTGGTTCAGTTAAAATTTAAGTTTTGTGTCATTAATTATTATGTAATTTTAATATTCATAAATAAATAACCAAAAACAAAGTTTAATAAAAAATCAAACATTTCTCATCTTGATTTTGCATCAAGTTCTGTAAAAGCATTGCAAAAACAAACATTTAAAATTAAAATTATGTTTTGTTGCGATTGAATTGATTCGAAGAAAATAAATAAAATCTTTATTTCAATGTTTACATCTCTGTAAAAGCTTCACTGAGAAGACAAAGAAAATCTGTGTCATCACATTTTTCTGAGGATTGCGAGTTGTTTAAGCTTGTTAGATTGTGAGGATCTGATGTCTGCAAACCGTCCTTGTTAACGATATATGTGACGATATATTTTTGGTCATCTTCATCAATAAAGGTGTATGATCCACGGAAAACCATGGCTTCTTTATCTGTTCCAACATTCTGCACTTTTGAGTTTAATGGACGAGTTTTTTCGTCACTGATTTTAGATCTGCAAAATAAATCAAATTATTCAAAGAATATTTTGATAGTCATAATTATTCATTCAGATTATTTACGCGAACTTGTAACCTTCCATTCCAATGCTACTTATGGAACTTGCGACTTCATCATACCATTGTGGAGAGGCTAAAGCAATCGCAATGACAGTAGCAAATGCGAAAAGAAATTTCATTTTAATAAATATTTGATTGATTTTTGGTTTAGTTTTATAAACAGTTAGTAGTACTAACAAGTTGAAGAAGAAAGTTTCCTCATTTTATAGTCAAACAGAAAAATAAAATTAATTAAAGAAGTGTTGATGATAAGAAAAATGTCAATTGTTGACAGAAACCTATTTTCCTTCAAAATATCGGCAGATATGAATTGTTCAATTTCATAATTAAAAATATAAATAATTTTATTCCACCTTGCAATTATATTTATTGTTTTACAAATATTTTTCATAAGGTTTCAAAAATTAAACAACCAACGAATTCGTTTTCATTGAACTCTAATCATCACTCATTTATTAGGTGAAAGACTCATGCAAGCAAAACACCGTGAATTATTTCTAAGAGCAGTTTATTTAAAGCTTAGAAGTCTTGAAAATATTTTGTATGATCTGCAAATAAAATAAGAAAGTTAACGTACACGTGAAAAAATAATTGCATAGCAAAATCAAATCATATAAGCTGATCTCATGGAAAGTTCTCATTGAAGTTTAAAGACATTTCTCGTACCTTGGATAGTGAATATTGGTTAAAATAATTCAAAGCTTTGAAGTACTTTAAACAAATTGAAATCAAACTCTTCTGATGTAAACTTCCCATGAACTGCTACGAAAGCTTTTTTTGGAGCCTTTAATATTAACAACAATTCGAAACTTTAGTAAAGCTCTTGATGGCAGGAAACTAGGAAGTAGTTGATCAGGCATGGTGAAATTGCAAACAGAATAAATACCCTGAGAAATAAATATTGTCAATTATGCTACTTAGCATAAAAGAGAATTTAAAACTTTATCACTTTTTTCATTGGTAATTTCAAAATGTCAGATGTCACGCCCAATCGTTCAGTTATCATCTGCAGAATTGAGTTGCCAAAAATTCCTTTCGCTACCCTATCAAAATCAACAGATGTCTTAAAATATTCTCTGCCGTAATGTCGATCGCCATCATTTTCAGGCAGTAATAATTGTAAAAAAACTTTTATTTTAGTGACTTCATGATATGCATGAATGGTTACGTTTATTAAAGTGGAATTGACGCCATCATTTTGTAAGGCATATGAAAAGTTAGTGAATGACACGTCAAAATTGATTTTTACACGATCAATCATTATTGCAGATTGCTGAAATTGAAACAAAATTTCACAACATTTGAATAAATTCTGATACTTAAATTGTCTTACTGTCAAATTCAAGTAGAAAACTAATGAAAAACTGATGATAAACTTCAAACTTTCCATTAAAAAATTATCTTCAAAATTTACTTTCATATGCTTCAGAAGTCAAATGACATTTGAATAAAACTTTTTGAAAGTCAATCTAGGTAATTAACATCGAACCAAATTGATTTTTTTATTCTGATATATTTTATCTTAATGATGTTATGTAATTAGTTCAATGCAAATTATTTTTTATAAAAAGAGATGAAGCTTTTTGAAATCTATTTAGATTCAATTACCTACTTGTGATATTAAAACGTTAAAAACATTGATTCGAAGTGTAAATCTAGAAACGGTTTTCTATATCACGAAGCAGACATGCATTCACAATTAATATGCTGAAGTTACTTTAAGTAATGCCTATCAGAATAAATATTATTATTAAGTTTTTCATTTTACAAAGTTCTGTATGGTATGGGACTTGGATCAAGTGAGACATTGTAGGTATGTAGAAGACATTGTAAAAATAATTGAATAGGAAATCAAATCAAAATTTGAAAAAAATATACTAGCACATAAAGCTAATAGTTCTCATGGAAGTTCAAAGACATTTCACATACCTTGATAAGTGAATATTGGTTGAAATAATTCAAAGCTTTATTGTCATTTCATCAAGTAGGTACTTTGAACAAATTGAAATCAAACTCTTCTGATGTAAAATTCCCATGAACTGCTATGGAAACTTTTTTTGGAGCCTTTAATATTAATAACAATTCGATTTTTAAGTAAAGCTCTTGATGGCAGGAAACTAGGAAGCACTTGATCAGGCATGGTAAAATTGGAAATACGGTAAATACCCTGAGAAATTAAGCATTGTTAATTACATTAGCATTAAAGAAAGCTAAATGACTTTCACTTTTTTCAGAGGTAATTTATATTTGAAAATGTCAGATTTCAAGTCCAATCGTTTAGTAATCATCTGCATAATTGAAGATTGCTGAAATTGAAACAAAACTTCACAACATTTGAATAAATTCTGAAACTTAAATTGTCTTACTGTCAATTCCAGATATGATTTTTCAAACATAAATTGCAACTAATTTGAAACATCAATCGGTTGGAAGTTTTGCGGTTCAACTGCTTGAATAAAAATTGCAAATTAGTTGCAAATAATAAAATTATAGCAGTTTTTTTTATATATGAAAAAAAATTAGGAAACTTCAGTTGTAATTATTAAAAGATATATATTATATTTATAACTTTTAATGATGCTATGATTTTTAAAGTTGTACATAAGTAAAATTATATATTTAAATAAATAAGAAGAATTGTATTACAAAAAATATATAAAGAAATAAAGTTGAATATGGAAGTATGACAATATCTAATAATTATAGCTTATAACTTATAATATTAAAAAATTAAAAAATTACCTTAATTCATATAAATGATTGCTTATTTTTATTTCATTACAGAAAGTATTAATGCAGTTATAGTAAAATAATAAAAAATCAATTTACCTACTTACGAAACTTTAATTCGAATATGAAGGGGGCTTATGCAAAAGTTGCGTAAGGTTTCAAAAATCAGGACAGTCAGTCAAAAGTTAGGTCAAAATAAAATAAAAAATAACTGAAGCACAAAAAACATATGATTTAGGCTTTTTTTCAGTAGCATTATTTAAATAAATGGAAGTTAAATTGATGACAAATTTTATTAAATTCGTCCTATTCAGTTTTTCTTCTTTGAATTATCAATTTGTAATTTAAAATCAATTGAAGAATTTAAATAATTGTTCATGAACACCAGCGCCCTCTAATTTGACTCTGTCAATCAGAAAATAATTATTTGCGACTCGCTTTGAAGCGAACTTAATATGAAACGAAATATTATAAAAAAGATGGAATTTATCGAAGTGATTGTCTCAAAAATTAACGTAAACAAATTTGTTTACATGAAAGAAGACGGCAATGGTGCATGTTACAAAAAAAGTGACAAGGGAAAAGTTTTATTGCCTGAAAATGAAGAAAAACAAACTTGGCAAGATATCATTAAAAACGAACTGGAAAATCAACTGAAACATCCCCCAAATAAAATATCGTAACTATATATATTTTCTGAAAGCATTAAGGAGAGTAAACACATAAATTAAAAGATTGAATTTGTGTATTATTAACTTTTATTTGTAAACTTTAAATCGAAAAAAAAAATTGTTGTCAACCATATTAAAAACTTTGCAATCAATTTGCGATTTTTTTTCAAATACTTAATTTGCAATCAATTTGCAAGTTTTTTAAATAGTTACTTTATTTTGAATTAAACTGCGTGTCAATATTTTGCAAATTACCTACATTATAATTTAAAACTTCTCTTTAAGTTTTACGGAACGATTTAATTTTTTTAATGTCTAATTATTAGTGTATTTAACATGAATTTTACATTTTCAGA